TGTTCATATTTTGTGACTTTTACCCGATTCCGAGACGTGGGCCCGGGGAGGCTTTTTAGGGAGATTTTCTAATTTCTTGCTTTAGCTTTGATTTCATTAGCTAGATTAGTTTCTTGTTAGTTATATTTATGTTATGTAATTGATTTTGGCTAGATTTGGGCCACTCGGAGCCGGACATTCGTCGGAAAGGCATTGTGACTGATTGATTGAGCTTGGTTCGAGGTAAGTGGCTTGCCTAACATTGTGTGGGGTAACTCCCCTAAGGATTTGGTACTGTTTTTTATATGTGAGCGTCGTGTACGTGTGGTGACGAGTACGTACACGGGCTAATTGTTATAAAAACCTGATTTCTGCTAAGTAATAACCCGTTTCCTTCTTATTTTAGTTATGTCAGCATGTGTAGTATCCTGTTAGCTTAGAATAGCATGTCTACTTGTCTTATTAATTGTTTATGTGAACTATGTGCAACATGTTTAGTGAATTTCCTTCTTTTCCTTGACTTGAACTTAGTCTAAACTGTAGGCTTTCTTGCTGTAATTGTTAGTTCCATAGTTTGAGCTGCATATTTTACTTTGGGACTACGGAACGGTATTCTAGGAGATCCCCCTATACTGCATATTTACTTTGGGACTACGAAACGGTATTCCGGGAGATCCTCCTGTACTGCATTTCTACTTTGGGACTACAGAACGGTATTTCGGGAGATCCCCCTGCACATTTACCCTTGGGACTACGAGACGGTATTTCGGGAGATCCCCTGTTGTCATCTCTTTTTACTGTGCTGTTACCTTTCAATGATTTCATTCTTAAAATTTCGGTCTTTATTTTATTGAGATATTTCATTCTGTCTTGTTTTTATTATATATATACCAGTAGGGCCCTAACCTGGCCTCGTCACTACTTGACCGAGGTTAGGCTTGGCACTTACTGAGTACCGTTCTGGTGTACTCGTGCCCTTTCCTGCACATATTTTTCGTGTGCAGATCCAGGTGCCTCCTACCAGCCTCATTTTAGTTGCACAGTTGCTGTCATTCCGGAGACTTCAAGGTACATCTGCCGCGTCCGCAGACCTTGGAGTTCCCTTCTATCCCTTCTGATGTTGCTTCCCTTTAATTCATTCTTGTACTGATGTATATGACAAAAATCTTAGAAGCTTGTAACTTACGGTGTTCCGGGTCTTGGGGGAGTTGTGTACATTTCGAGAGTGATTATTTTATATGCCGAGCGGCATCTCAAATGCTTATTTAAATTAACTGTTAGTGGTAGTTGTTAACTTTTAAGTTTTTCATTTCATTTTCGGCAAATATTAGGCTTACCTAGTCGTAGAGACTAGGTGCCACGACAATTCACGGAGGGAGAATTTGGGTCGTGACAATAGCCACTAAACAATAGTGGTTTCTGAAAATTCCTCTTTTTACTTCTCATTCTTTAAGATATATTTATAGGGGCTTTTTTCACTTTTAGCCTGTGTCAGAAACTATTTACATTCGATAGCCGAAAAAGTGTATAAAATTTGTACATAACATACATAATGTGTGTGTGTGTTATATATATATATATATCGACTATTTTGAGAGCGGCTACACAATGTCATTTTCTCATATTTATAATCTGGTTTTGTATTCTATTAACTTCAATGTTAGTTACTCTCATATCTTTTAAATGAGAATTAAGCTATAAAAAGTTGTAATACTAATCATTTAGTTGCAAGCTTTCAGCATGCTTTTTAATGATAGAAGACGAATTTTGAGTAGGGTTGCCAAGTTCGCTGTCTATTTTCACCGGATAAAGGAATGATTAGCTCAATATACTTTGTTTTGATTTATTACAAGTTAATATGCATTGTATTTTTATTGAATTCCGATGCTAATTTGTATATTTTTTTCTTTTTAACATAAAAGGAAAATGGAGAATAATGCCATAATAGTCGCAAATCGCAATTATCATTATATTGCGTTACTAATTAGAAAGGAAAAGTAATTAAGCTAATTCACTATATGATTGGCATAAAACCTTGATTTACACCTTCAAAATGTGCTGTAGCTGTTAGTTGATTTGTTCTTTTTTCTTTTTTTTCTTTTTTTGGGTTGAGAAATTGAAGGTTTGGGAGGTAAAAATGGCGATTTAGGGAGAGGGCGTCGTAGAGTTCCGAGTAATCTCCAGCAGCCGGGGGGTTTTAATTTTTAAAGTACGTCGCCACTTGTTCCGGCGACCTAAAGCTAATGCGTTATAGGTGTTAGTTGTTATAAAATAAGGGGTCGTTTAGTTGCCGGTTAGAGTTATGCAGGTATTAGTTATACATGTATTAGTTATGCAGGGATTAGTTATGCAGGGATAAGTAATGCAGGGATTAGTTATGCAGGTATTAGTTATGCAGAGATTATTTTTTTGAATGTTTGGTTTGTTGTATTAGAAATTGATATACATTATATAAATTTTAAAGTAAAATGCTTGTTTACAACTATACCCCTGGCCTTCTTTTGCATTATTTTTTCTCTCTTTCCATTTATGTAGGAAACAATTTAGTTAGGAACTTTGGGTGTTACTTTCACTCTTCGTCATACTACTGAACTATGTGAAGTTTAGACATATTTGATTTTCACTTCTTAGTTTTGATATTTCCATTTTCTAGTGGCTTCTCCAGTTTGCTTTTGCTAGTTTGTTCTTTAAAAATGAGAGAAGACAAGGTATATAGTTGGCAAGTGAAAGCAAGTGAAACCTGTTGACGGGTCGGCAGAGAAATAAGGAAGCCTTATGTGTAAAGTGATAGGGGTAAATTTGTCATTTCAGTATTTTATCCATGTATTACTAATACATGTATTAGTTATTCCATCTTCTACCCCGCATAAAATAATACACAGATTGACTCATAACTTATACATGTATTATTTATGCATAATTGAAAAATGTCAACCAAACATGGTATTAGTTATGCAGAATTTTATACAAAATAACTATTGCCTACCAAACATGGTATAAGTTATGTTACCCCTTATACATGAATAACCTTTCTTCTAACCAGCTACCAAACGATCTCTTAAAAGCAATATAGCAAGAACTATGNATCAGATCCACGTCACATACTCGATAAAATATATTTTCTTATACTTTTTAAGATTAAAAAATATTAACAGTAGAAAAAAAAAACAAGAATGAAAAAAGGAAAAAGTAAAGTAACTCCTCCATTCTTTCCCATCCCATCCTTCTCCTCGTTATTATTTTTCTCTCTTTTTCGACCCCACCCCCATCGCTGCTTCTTCACACAAGTGGGAGTGTGTCTTGCTGTTATTTTTTAATTATGTTGATTGGTTTAGTTACCTTCTATTAAGTCCGGAATCAAAATTTTTATCATGTAATATTTTACCTTTTTTGTATATAATGTTATGGACAATTGTTTTTCTTGATATTGATGGTTGAAATGGTATTGTTTAGTAAGATTTGCCTTAAGTTTCAGATTTAAAATTCTAATTTTGGGTTGGACTGTTGTAACTCTTTTATCATTTAAAATTTTTGAATATTTTTTAGGCTTCCCCTCTATTGAAGATTGTTCTTCTCTGGATTATCCACAAGTTTTGACCTTTCTGCCTTTTGTCCTTACAGGAATAACTTTAGCATTAACTCTAAATTGGGTATGAAACAAGCAGTTGAGGATAGAAAATTTAAGCAGTAGTATTGTGTGTTTATTTACAATTTCTAATTTATTTCTTTTTGAATCAGACGGATAGGAACAATGAAGGTGGAAAGCTGGTTAGTGGTGGTGGGATATCGGTAAAAATGAAGGATGCAGAGGAGGGGAGGGGAGGTTCACGACGGGAAGAATGGGCGGAAAAGAAGAAGAAGACCGGAGGGGTTGGGAAATTTCTTTTTGTTTTCTTTTTTACTTTATTGTTATTGTTTTTTATAGCTTAAATATTTTTTTAATCAAAACATTACCTTCACTTGCTCTTGAGCGTGTGTGACCACACAGTTTGTACTTAGGGGTCGTTTGGTTGCCGGTTAGAGTTATGCAGGTATTAGTTATACATGTATTAGTTATGCAGGGATTAGTTATGCAGGGATAAGTAATGCAGGGATTAGTTATGCAGGTATTAGTTATGCAGAGATTATTTTTTTGAATGTTTGGTTTGTTGTATTAGAAATTGATATACATTATATAAATTTTAAAGTAAAATGCTTGTTTACAACTATACCCCTGGCCTTCTTTTGCAATGTTTTTTCTCTCTTTCCATTTATGTAGGAAACAATTTAGTTAGGAACTTTGGATGTTACTTTCACTCTTCGTCATACTACTGAACTATGTGAAGTTTAGACATATTTGATTTTCACTTCTTAGTTTTGATATTTCCATTTTCTAGTGGCTTCTCCAGTTTGCTTTTGCTAGTTTGTTCTTTAAAAATGAGAGAAGACGAGGTATATAGTTGGCAAGTGAAGCAAGTGAAACCTGTTGACGGGTTGGCAGAGAAATAAGGAAGCCTTATGTGTAAAGTGATAGGGGTAAATTTGTCATTTCAGTATTTTATCCATGTATTACTAATACATGTATTAGTTATTCCATCTTCTACCCCGCATAAAATAATACACAGATTGACTCATAACTTATACATGTATTATTTATGCATAATTGAAAAATGTCAACCAAACATGGTATTAGTTATGCAGAATTTTATACAAAATAACTATTGCCTACCAAACATGGTATAAGTTATGTTACCCCTTATACATGAATAACCTTTCTTCTAACCAGCTACCAAACGATCTCTTAAAAGCAATATAGCAAGAACTATGTAATTAACTAGGACTAATAATATCTTTCCTTTTCTTCACTGCACTGTGTTCAAGATTTATAGTGTAACTATTGCTCATGATGAGCAATGATTTGTAAGAAATTAATAAACTAAAATTAGGTCTTCAACTTGTCTTTATCCTTATTTTTCGTATGTTTCATTTTTAAAGAGAAAGCAGTTGCAATCAATAGCAAAGGTCATTGATGTGGAAACATATCGAAGAACAATTAAAATTTAAATAACAACTTTATTCCATAGCCAGACCATATTTACCCTGCCCAAAACATTTAAAAAGACAGAAAGATAAATAGATAGATAGATAAAACAAACAATTCCACTCAACGATAGAGTTATACAGTCCTCGTTACTCCTCTACTATACCATCACATCTTTAGTATTTTCTCATTAATTTTGTCAGCTCTTCCATATGTTTTTTTCCATAAATTCAGCTCCTCACCATTTTAGCTTCGCCGGGAAATACTGCAAGATATAACATGCAAATCAGTTAGAAAATCAGAAAATTATGTGTTAGCCAAGAGGCCTATTGAATTCGAATCCGAATTAGTTGAACATGTAATTTTTGCAAATGGAATGTAACGAAATGTTACACCTAAGAGGCAGCAAAAGTTGTACTCACCTTTTCAATGAGAGACATGTAGTAAGGCTTGACCTCTTCCACGTCAACCAAAACTTTGCTTTTGCTGTATAAGTCGTATTTGCTGCACACGCAGTATAGTAATAATCAGGCACTAAGCATAATAATTAATAGATTTAATGATGAATTAACAAAATGTAATCTTACTTAAAAATATGAAGCCACTTGAGATTTTCCTTATCTTCCTCATTCATTAGGTGCTTGTAAGCTCCAGATCTATGCAGGGCTGCAAGATTAAACAAATCCCATCAACATTAATTAGTCGGTAGTAAATCTCTAAATGAATTTTTTCAAAAATTTCACGTGTCTCAATCCTAGATTTTCTTTTTTTATTTTTCTTTCACGTACCGTAAAATGAATGGTATCTAATGATGAAAAGACCAGCTGATGGCAATGTTGTCCCATTCTCCTTTGCAACCTGCACGTGAATAAGACTATTAATTAAATCACGCACAATCTAATAATGACTATTGTATCTTAGTCTACGTTATACAATCTTCAAATATTGGGATTAATTAAAAGGATTCTGGTATAAAGAATATACCAAATACATATAATCATCATGTCCCCATGACATCATAACCTTGTCTAGTCCACAACCCTCTGAGTAAACTCCATATTTGGAGTTGTAAGCTGGATTATTGTAGTCAGGATTTTCCTTAAAATACTTCAACAACCAAAATAGTCAAAATTATTCTTTAGGGAAAAAATAACACTTAACCAAAATTCAAATGCGTTTTTATATAGTGAAAAAGAAACCTTGGAGTGGACAATAGAGTCATTGAAAGCACAGCCAACAGGATATGTGTCACCAACAACAGCCCATTGAGGAAGCTCTCCAAAGCTAGGAAGAAGCAGAACTTTTCCCAGATCTTATAGAACAAAAAAATAGTACATGAATCTTAATTCATTTAATTTTAATACAACAAAAATTTTTAAAATCAACTAAATATGTATAAATTATTAACTTAGAACTCAGTAACCGAAAAAATTAAGATCCTGAACCAGGGGCAAATTTATAAGAGAGATTATGGGGCATGTGAACTCATGGTCTCCCCGCAAAATTAAATATTTTATGTACAGTCAAACCTCTCTATAACAGCATCACTATATAACAACACTTCACTATAGAAGCCAAGCTTTTTTGGAACCAATTTCTATGTTATGTTATAATATATGTTCTCTATAACAGCATTTCGCTATAACATCCAAAAATATTCGGAACAAACGAGGCTGTTATGGAAAGGTTTGACTGTACATATTTTCTAAAATTGGTAATAGTATTAATGGTTGGCACCTATGGTCCAAGAAGGATAAATGGTACACTTGGTTGAATGTTGAATTATTTACCAAGAGAAATAGGGATCAAGTCCCACTTAGTACATTTTTTCCTCCTTTTTTCAGTAGTGCAATCATGTACTACAAATTTTAGATCCGTCTCTGTCCCGAACACATAAATTTTAAATCTTGGTACCACCTCCGATTATAATACTGAATATGAAATGAGTAGAGTATTGGATTAATTAAAATTATTTTTGTGTTAAGTGAATTAGTACCATGAATAAGGGCAGTCAAATGGAGCCAATCTTCATCAGGATAGTCTTTCCTAATGGCTTCAGCACTTTGTAACAAGTGTTGAATTTGAGGTTCGTCCAAATCAGGGTCACTGTCATCGACCACATCGTTGAGTAGTTCGCAACATTCCCAGATGCTCATTTCTGCCTTATCACATTTTGCATATTTTTCCCTCATCTTCTTTACCTTAAACACATCAGGATCAAAGTTAATTCAAACGAAATAAAAAAGTTGGAAAAACAAATGAAGCTGATACACAGTTTATAAACACAATGAAAGTTAGATTGAGTTACTTACATAATCATAGGTCTGATTTAGGTGATTGATCTTGTAAAATGTTTCTACCCCTTCTTGCCTTGCACTTTCTACAGTGTAGTCCCTGTTTGAAATATTCCCAATTTGTCAATTTTTGCCCCATAAAAAAAAAAACACACATCTACAAATCAAGTTCTTTTCCTTATTTTCTCCGAAAAAAGAAAAATTAATAAAATAAAAAGAAAATTTAGAGATAGGCTGTTGGTTTATTTATTCAAAACTTCATTTGGTTAGGAAAATTGCACTAAATCTAAAGGACTATTTAGTTCTTGTCACAGACAACTACGATAACAAGCATTTTAGCAAATCCTGTCTTGGGCTAATACTCCCTCCGTTCCCGTTTATGTGAACCTATCTGTCCGTTTCAAAAAGAATGATCCCTTTCTTATTTAGAAATATTTTAATTTAAACTTTCAATTCTATCCTTAACGAAAAGCTTTTATAACCACACAAATAATCTGGACCTCTTTTTGAGGTGTTTAGGACCACAAATTTTAAAAGTTTTCATATTTCTTAAACTCCGTGCCCAGTCAAACATGTTCACATAAATTGGAGCGGACGAAGTAACAGAGCCATGTTTTTTCCCCTTCAATTTTCCAAATTCTGAGCTATGTTTTCATATCAATAAATCTTGTCTTGGTATTTACAATTAATCAAATGATTAATTAGTACAAATCTGGAATTAGTATGACGTCTTTGGATGTTTTTTGGTGTTCCGGTTAAACATAGTAGGGGTTCTGATTTATGAGTATTGTCCCAAATCCACAAACATTTTACCTGTGGATTTTTATTTTTCTTTTTTGCATATGATATTTCAAAGCAAAGATTAATAAGAGCTTAAGAAAATAAACCGCAAAAGTAAGACAATAACCTAAAGTTATGGCCAAACGCATTGGTTTCAGGCACCGCAAATCCACCATCCAATACCAATTCCTTTTCATTGTCGTATATCTTCTTTTCCTCTGCTTGGATCTCTGTGGAAAATTGTTTATGAACAAAAATATAGATTTTGAAGAACGAAAAAAGAAAATACTAGTATTTCTTTCTTCAAAAGGAAAATACTATATATTATCAAAAAATTAAAAAGCAAAGAGAGAAATCTATACCAAACTGAGGCTGTTCAATGAGGATAGTCATGGTGAATGAAAGATAGAGGCAACCCACAAACCAAAACACAAGGACCTAAATCTAAACTTTGATAGGAGTAATTGATAATAAAAGATAAAAAATAAAAATCAAAGAGGGACAATAGAGAAAGCAAAGGAAGGAAAATAGGCGGTGGCATTTTTAGGTTAAAAGAAAGACAGTATTTATAACTGCCGGAAAGTCCTTCCCTGAGATTTCGGACGTCTTGAGTCCTTCCCTGAAAATCTCTCAAACTTGTTTCAACTCCCCAACTATTTTTCTGTTTTTTATTATATTGTATTCATTTTTTCCAAGTGTTAGGATTACGTTACGAGGATAAAAACACATGGCTAAACTGTATCCAGTAGAAACAACAATGTCACTACATACAAATCTCCACCCCCTTAGGCCTTACCTTCTTCCTCTGTAACAGTATTATGAAAAAGCCAGAGCAAGTTGCAATATGTGGGGCTGCCCATGCAAGTAGGTATGGAACTCCATTTAATTTTCTTTTTTTTTTTGCACAAACAAAACAAATTTATTATTCATCGAATTAGGCTGACAAGTAATTAGTTGTCAGTCATATTAGTACGTGTACTCTAAATGTAATATTTGACAAATGTGTTTTGATTTCATGGAGATTCATATATCAAAGTGGCGAGCAACATGTAATCAAGGGTGATAAGTTGAACAATATTTGTCGTAATTTATATTGTGTATATATGATAAAGTATTACTAGTACTATTTTTTACACTATGTTATATTTTAGAGATTCCCCAAAAATTGCTCTTGATGTCAATAAAAATATGATGAACTTTTACTACTACGGAAGTGTGAGTTTTTTTTCTAAATTAAGTCGACGTGAATAATAAAAATTAATCTAGCTAATCCTAATTTAATTGGGATTACAAACGGTATAATAATTGTTGTTGCGGTAATTAGTTGGCAGTATTTTGGTGATGGTAGGGCCCAAAATGACTCAGCTTTGAGTAGGACATTATATATCTACTTGATTACGTATTTCGAAGAACGGGACCCATTCTGAGGTGGATCCCAGTCAAGGACTATGACTACTCTCCGCGAGCGCCGACGCTTTTTAGATAGTTGTTCACGCCAATTTGTGGCCGTTAACTATTGGGCCGTCGCTGTTAACAAAAGAACTCACCGTAAAAATAAGCCCACTCGACCCGTTTATAGTGGGTGAAATTTAAAAATAGCCAGATTTACAATTGGCCATTCAAAAACATTTTCAAAAGTAATCAAAATTTTGTCACTTTTCATGTAAAGATAAATCTGAGCGAAAACACTGTTCAAAACCCCGGAAAATACGCCAGTATATTATGCTGGAGTTCCAGTATAAGTATACTTGAACTCCACCATATTATACTGGAGTTCCAGGATAAGTATGCTGGAACTCCATCATAAGTACACTAGAACTCCAGGATAATATACTGGAGTTCCAGCAAGTATACAAGTCCAGCATAATATACTGGAGTTTGGAGCACCGGTGCTCCAGTCTCCAGTATATTACACTGGAGCTAGCAAAGTATACCGGTGCAGCATAATATGCTGGAGTTCATACACAGGTGCACCGAACTCCAGTATATTATGCTGGACCGGTCTCTGTTGCAGCAAAATAGTGGTAATTCTTCATTGACTTAGTAACCGTTGGCTATTTTTGAATGACCAGTCCGAAAACTGGCTGTACCGTGCTATTTTGACGTTTATAGTTGGTGGGATATTTACTTGCAGGTTAAAATTGCCCGGGGTGCCCTATTTGGTCGCCCCCATTTAACCTATACTCATATTTTTAAAATTATTTAACATATACCCTAATTTTGACAATTTCAGATCCTGCGACCTATGCGCTCCTTTCTTCCTCCTCTTCTTCTTCTTTTCTCTCTCAAACATGTTATTCTGTAATTTACACATGTTATCCTCTCAAACATTAATACATCCAACACAAAGTACGTAAATAATAAAAATAGAGTTTATATTCAAAACTCGAAGAAGCATCAACTGAAGTTTGGGACCGCAGGGCCAAACTTCAGACATTACTAAGTTAAATTTCGTCTGAAGTTTGCAACTATCATGTCAGAAAAAATTATCTGAAGTTCAAATATAACAAGCTGATTTTGTCTAAAGTTTGCACTACAAATTAGTCTGAAGTTTGCACTACAAACTTAAGAACTTTAGACTAATTTGTCTGAAGTTTGCACTACAAACTGAAGAACTTCGGACTAATTTGTCTGAAGTTTGCACTACAAACTGAAAAACTTCAGACTAATTTATCTGAAGTTTGCACTATAAACTGAAGTTTTTTTGATTGCTTTTTCAAGTTAAGCCAAACTTCAGACGAAAGTATCTGAAGTTTACTTTGATAAGGTCACACTTCAGGCAAAAAAATCTGAAGTTCAAACTTCAAACATAAATTCTTGCTACTTGAGGCCCCGTATGCCTGAAGTTACCCGAAAAGTGGGTACGGTTGCAATTGCTTTTGCAAAGTGTGTATAAGTTAAATTATGACCCAAAAATTGGGTATTGATACAAATCCCTCTACTTGTAGAGAGTGGTGATCGCAAGAACTTGTATGGGACTGTGTGAAAATTATAAGGGCTCGATTAGTACGGGTATAAGAGATAACTAATTTCGAGATTAAATTTGAGATGAGTTTATCCTACCTTTGGTTGGGATAAAATCGTGATATAATTAATCCTGAGATTAGTTATTCTGGGATTGTAGTATTTTTTTTTTTATCTCCATGGGAGGGTAAGATAATTAATTTTGGGATAACTAATCCCGAAATAATTAATTATCGGATATCTTGTTTCTCAATCAAACGATCCCCAAGAGGTTGGTTTGGTACATAAGATAAGGATAATAAATTTGGGATAAAATGTGAAATTGATATTTTATGTTTAGTTTGAAGTATTAGCTAATTCGATACATCAAAAAGATGAGATTAATTACCTCATATAAAAGATGAGATAATTAATCTATACTACATTAAAAGCACGAAGGCCCTTAGTGAAATGCCGTTCGCCTTTTTTTCCCTTTAAAAGTAAATTTTACACTAGAAAAAATAGTAATTTAATTATTTCCTAATATTTAGGACTTTGAAATCAACTAAAATTATAGTTATTAAATATTTTCTTATTTGAACTATTTAGAAAGTCCTAATATTTAAGAATTTAAAACCAAGTGAGCTTTTATTTATGTAAATTCTTTCCTTATTTGAATCGAATGAAATAACTACCAGCATGTAATTATAAGTATGTTTCTTTGTCACGAGCCGGATTTTCCGCCGTCGGGATCGTGATGGCGCCTACTCATAAAAGTTAGGCAAGCCAACAGATACAAATCTAACACATTATTTATTAACTCAAACAGTAAAAAAATTAATAGCTACAACTAAACTAATATAATTTGCGGAAGTTTTATAACAGATCAAAACTCTAAAACAAGACTACCGCAATGATCTGGTGTCACAATTTCACGAACATCTAAGAACTTTTACAAATACTGGTTTAAAAGAAATACATTTGTTCTCGAAATAAAAAGAGACATGAAATCTAAGACAGAAGGAAGGGGACTCCAGGGTCTGCGAACGCCGGCAGATCTACCTTGGGTTGTGGACTGAAGGCAGCAACCCAAACTCGACTCACGAGGTCCGGCACCGAAATCTGCACAAGAAGTGCAGAGTGCAGTATCAGTACAACCGACCCCATGTACTGGTAAGTGCCGAGCCTAACCTCGGCGAAGTAGTGACGAGGCTAGAACACGACAAACAATATAAACCTGTACAGTTAAACAATATACTAACAGAATAACAAGTAATAAAAACTAAACATAAATGAGTGGGAGGGGGCAACATGCTATGGGGGATTCCAACATAAAGAATCACAGCAGTAAAGGGACTTAAACATCTAAAACACCTTGAACCGATAATAACAATAAACACAGCAAATAGAGAATGTCGCACGACATCACACTTCGTGCTTTTACTCTCAATCCTCACCATGCAATCAATAATAGAAACGTGCACGGCATCACCCTTCGTGCTTTATCACTCTTCCTCACCATGTGAATAATGTAAATGTGCACGGCATCACTCTTCGTGCTTTATCACTCTTCCTCACCATATGAATAATATAAATGTGCACGGCATCACCCTTCGTGCTTTATCACTCTTCCTCACCATATGAATAATATAAATGTGCACGGCATCACCCTTCATGCTTTATCACTCTTTCTCAACATATCAAACAATAGAAACAAACAACCCGGCAAGGGTATTACAATCACACTAATCCGTTTCATCATTAAATTTTCGCAATAGAAATCTCAACTTGAACCAATACTCAACCAATATCCAAAACCAGGAAAAACGTAATAAAACTTTGTTAACATGAACAATAACTAGTTTAAGCAGGAATAATACATATAAGACACACCACGGTCACAAGTATAGGACTTACTCACATGCTATGACCCGACAACAACGTATAGATACTCATCACCACACCTATACGTCATACTCAATAACTAACAAGTAGCAAATAGGGCAAACAATACCTAATCCCTCAAGCTAAGGTTAGCCACAACACTTACCTTGATTCCACGGCCAAACTCAAGCCTCAAATACCACTTTTCCCTTAGTTTCCACTTCCAATCCGCCCGAATCTATTCATAATTAACTTATTAACATCAATTGAAGCCAAAGAAACCAATTCAAATGAAAAATTATAGATTTCCCAACATTCTTCCCAAAAAGTCTAAAATCAACCCCGAGTCTGCTTGGTCGAAACTCGAAGTTCGGACCGAAACGCGATTACCCATTCACCCCCGAGCCTGGATATGCAATTAGTTTCGGAATCCTACCCCAAATCGAGGTCTAAATTCCCAAATTTGTAAAATTCCCAATTTCCCCAAAATCCCTAATTTCTACCCTTAAAGAACAAGATTTAGGCCTAAAAATCTAATGGGTGTTGATGGAAAATGAAAGAGATAAGTTTAAGAACACAAACCTATGATTTAGTGTTGAATCCCCACTTCAAAAATCGCCCAAGGTTGAGTTTTAATGGAAGAGATATGAAATTTTGAGCAAATCCCGACTTGGGTTCTGTTTTAAAATCACAGGACAGGTCTTCTTCGCGTTCGCGAAGCATTGGCCAGAAGGGCCTTCGCATTCGTGAGATACTGTACACGTTCGTGAAGGTACACCCCCCGACCTTCGCGTTCTCGAGCCCTTTGCCGTGTTCGCG